GGCTATTACCTTACGTCAGGCCAATAACTTAGCCTCCCACTAAATTTCATCAATTCCATGAGTCAGGCTGTCTATCTTTCCAAGAAAAGTCATTGGAATATGTGAAGGTCATTAGGTAAGTTATGCTCAGCAAAGACAACACTCACTCTGGTAAGCAGGCACCTGAAATACTCACCTCAGTGAAATTTACCATTGTGCTATAGAAGACTTTTTTCAAAGCTGAAAACAGTGTGTGATATTTGCAACAGCTATGCTGAATTGAAGGGCTGCTTATTTTGTTTCAAATTACGTCTTAAATGAGGATTATGATGATGATGTGCAGTGTTATTAAAAAATGCAATTATTCTGCCATGTCTATCAAAAAGAATACATAGGAAACAAAGGAAATGTTCAGCTGAGGCTGGTTGTGATTCTGTATTACACCTTTGTACTGATGAGGCTGATGAATCTGTCTCATCAGAAAGTTTCGGCACGTTGCCTTGAACTTGTGCACTATGGCTGCAGTGACAGAAAAAATAGCACACATAAAATCTGATAGGACTGCAGCCTATCCCTGTTGCCATTACTGTTGCTTCAAGAGCTCTAAACAGCTTTCAATTCCAGCTTTTGATTATTCTCCACAAATTTAATGCAGTACAGTACACAAACAGCTGGTTTCAAACAAATCATCTGAACATACAGTTTGACAAGCACATCGTGTTTGTCTTACTTACAGCTCTGAAACAACTACTAACATTCTCAGTATTTTCAAGCATGTGAATTTTAAAACCCAAACTACAAATGCTTTATCTTTGCCAATTCAGGCATGAGCTGCTTGTTTCTGCATGTGTGCTCATATATCTGTAAAGGATCATGGGGCTTTTGGCACTCTCAGGCATTTTCTTTATACATTTTTCAGGCAGGGTTGAAGAGGCTGCTCCTCAAAGTAGTCACCATTAGTGTGCCCCGTGTCCCCCACTGACTTCATTAGGAGCTGTGAGCACAGAGGATTTCTGAGTGTGCTAAAAATGTCAAATGGGGCATTGAGCAAAGAGGAAACCAGACCAGTAAAGAAAGCTCCCTGGAACAATCAGGCTTGATATTAAAATGCTGGTGTACTGTGTGTAGTGTCTAACTTGTTTATGGGTACAACGTGTATGTTTTATAAAGCATATGCATTTCTTCTAGACCAGTTCTCAGGAACAGCAAAAATCTTGCTTTTCACTGCAACTCTAAAAGTTTCCAGGAAAGGATTGTGTACTTCTGTTGACATATTCACAACATCCTTAAAGTAAATTTTATCAATTCAATAATGATATTCATACAATGAAGACCCAGGAGCATCTGGTATTCAAATCATTGCCAAAATCTGAAAGTAGCACCTCTGTTTGCAAGAGCCCCAGAGCATACAATTGCAAATCAAAACCCTCCTACTCTTCCATGCATAGTTTAATTGTGGTCTTAAAATATTTTTGAAAGTGGGTCCTTTGTGCTTTGTCGCAGTCACACCAAGAAAATATTCTTTGTGTCTTTGAAGGCTTTCAGGCACACCATGTGCACATCTCAGCTTCAGAAAGCGGAAAGTGGCATTCAAGGGAGATAAATCAGTAGCTGAGGAGAAACAAAGAAGAGAGAAAGCAGAGTTTTCTAGATGAATGCTCCAACAGGGTGCTGCCTGCTGCAGTTACCCACCTCTATAGGTCAGGTTTTATGCTACTACCTTTCTCTTTTATGCCTGCCCTGTAAAATCAGCGCCAGTCACAAGGGATTCATGAAGTCTTTGACTCTTCTCCTTTTTAAAGGTCAGGGCTCCACTTTTTAATTGGAAAAGCAAAAGGTGAATGAGCCTGACCATAAACACTGCAGTACTCATTGTGTGCCTTAGGAGGCTCAAAGCCTGCCAAAATATGTCAGGGCTTTTTGGAGGTGCTCGAGGAGAAGGATGTGGTGGTGACTGTGGCATTACAAATTTATGCAGTTTCTTGGGGAAAGGAGACATTGTTTGAGCATAAGCAATGCAGTGAAATCACAGGGCTTGACAATTACAGTACCTAGAGCTGGAACTCCAGAGCAGCCACTAATGTGAATTCAAGCAGATGACACCACTGTCATCCAAATATATGCTTAATTGCTCTTTTGATAAATATTTCTTTTCATCAGAACTGTGCCTTGTAATTCCCCATTGATGGAAAAAGGAACCCTAAAAAGGGTTAGAACTGGGAAGCTGTAGGACTTCGTGTTTGTTTTAGTTTGTTTTAGTTCCCCAGGTTAAGTGGAGGGAGAGGGGAAAGAAGACAGACTGAACATGTCTTGATTTTGGAAAACTGGACTATTTTTCTCTTTTTGTTTTCTAATGGCAATAGAAACACTACCTACAGTATAAAACATACACACTCCTGGTAGAATTTTTCACTGGAAACATGCAAAATATTTTGTTTAGCTCTCATACTTATTGCAGTATATCTAATGGCTGATCAGCTTTATTCCCCATGTTTCAAAGATCACTTCATTACTTCTAGTAAATTAATCTTTTGTCTCATCTTTGTATGTCAGTATATTCTTATAGTAATCTTCAGCATGGATTCTGAACCACAATGTAAACTGATGAATAACTTTGTTATTCCTAATAATTTTCATTATTTATTTAGAATTAATTACTTCAAAAAGCAGAGAAATACTTATTCTTTCTTTAATTTTCTTAGAGAGTGAAAACAGCAACTGCACACTTCCCTCAGTTTTTACCAGAGCTGCCCTGCACATGCATGTTTGTCACCTATTCCATCTCTGCCCATGATGTTCAGACTGGAATTTGGACGGGTTATGTCCATTGGTTTCTTTGCCAAAGCCAGGCTCAGCATTCTCTACCGAATACGTATCTCCATCTCTCACACCTTCCTTTCCTGTTCCTCCAGTCTCTCCACCAAAGTGCTCTGCTTTGGCAAACTTTGCCTGTCAAAGCACTTCTCTAGTTTATAGCCCACATTTCTTCAAACTGTCATTGCTCTCTCAGTGTGGGATCCTTTCTGGGTATAAAAATTGTCTCCACAGTTATTGTGTGACATGCTGTTTCCCATATCTGCTATTTCTTACATAATTATTTGAACTGACTGTTAAGAAGTATTGGAACCAAGGCTTAATTCTACCATTTTTCAGCCAGCTTTCTTTCTGTATCAGTTCATACTCATCATAATATTTTTCATTTAGATTTTATCTATTTCAAATTTCTTTTATAGAATAACTACCAAGGATCTATGTTCTGAGCCTTAAGAACACTCACCATTAATATTTTTTTTGCTTTTACCCTTTTGTTTATCATACCCATGTTTCAATGCAACATACCATGGAGATATGAATGGCCCATAATTTTAGAAGCAATTTGGTCTGTCTCTTACTGAAGTATCTTTTCCTACAAAGACTGCAGTGCTTCACAGTTAGAAATGCTTTAATTTCTTCCCATTCTCATTTTACATATTTTAGTAAATTAATTAAATTTCTTTCAAAGGGCATCAATTACTACCAGTATACAAAAAATCCCAACTGATTGTGTACTACTGAAAGACCTTGTTACGTACCTACATCCTGATTAAGACTGATGGTGGACCAATTCTATTATTCTCTGTCTTATTCAGCATTGTAACACTCTTCCTGACCCTTTCTCTAATGCCTTAGTGTTTCACCTGCACTGAATGACTTCTGAGTGTAAGGCTGGTATATCCCCATTTCCTCTGATAGTTATTTTAAAGAGATTCTGGTTTTATTGCCTATTCCCATCACAGGAATCATAGCACTCCTCACCTCTTGCTATGTCTATTCCATTTTCATTTAACTCAAGATGCTTCTTATTTCCCATTTTTCAGCTCGCTGTTAAGGTATTTGTTAGCAGGAGCACCTAACTTGGTTCACCTGATTTCATGAGAGAAACAAAAATACATCCTCTGCCACAAAGACTTTCCCTGAGAAGCGTATTGTGTATTTGTGGATTGCCTATAACCTTCTTGCATGTCTCCATTTACTGGTCTATAACTGGAAGATAATGATGCTCACCCAGGGCTTAATTGCATCTTGTCAGAAATGTATTCATGGGATCTGGGGAACACCTGACTTAGGACCTTCTTCCTCTTTTTTGCCAGGTACCTGAGTTCCCTCTGTTAGCTGATTTCATGCTGGACCTAAAAGGGTTTTCTCTAGTGTTCCTTCTCCTACTGAAGTCAGGTATAAGTGTCATCTTTTTTTTTCTGATGCAACGGTACAGCGTCACCAGGACTTCCAAGAATTTTGCCAACAGTACGGTAATTAAGTTTCCTCATTAAAATGAGGTCTTATGAATATAAAGTCCCCCAGCTCTCCCAGGGGAACCTTTTCCCTCTCTCTGACAGACCATCCCATCAGATCTCTCCCTTTTCATCCTATTTGATGAAACATTATCACCATTACCATCAGTATTTCATGTCCATTACAGGTAGTTTGCTCCAAGCCCTGTGGCCTGTGGGACAAGCCACGAGCTTGTGGGACTGAGAGCATCCCGAACAAAGGCACATTCTGGATGGCAGCACTCGGTGTTACCTTTCCCGATGACAGGGTGACCGGGGATGCTGCTGAGTACACCCATGAGCACGCTAGGGAAGCAGAAGGACACAGGCAGAAGTCAAGAGGGTTATCCAGCACAAAGAGGCAGTACACACCATCCTGAGCCAAGTCACCCGGCATTTCTCCATGGCACCTTGCTTATCCTTCCCATGTGCCTGCCTGCTTTCTCTTTATGGCTTTTTGCCTGTGGGAAGCATGGGCTCTGCAAGGCAAAACCTGCTCCTCTTTGCTTGGTGTAGGAACCCACACCACTCATTGCACGCCTCTATCCTAAGGGGAAGGAACTGAAGCCTCACTCACGTAAGCCGATGGCAACACTAGAACACATTTTGTTGTGGGGACCCCCCTATTGTGGAGGGGCCTGTCGGCACTCAGCTGCCGCCTGAGCAGCCCCGGCAGCCCCGCGCTCCCGGCCCGCTCCCGGCCCCACTCACAGCACGCAGAGGCAGTAGACCCCCGGGATGCTCTCGCTGTCCCGCAGCAGGTAGCTGCCGTCCGTGCCCGCCGCCAGCAGCAGCTTCTCCCCAGCCTCTCGGGTGATGGCCCCGTGGTAGACGGGCACCGTGTCCATGCCAGGGCCTGTCCCGCTGCAGCTGTGCTCCCGGGCTTGGCGCTCCCTCCGACAGCGACTCAGCCCTGCGCTCCCTCAGCCTCCGCGTCTCGCTGGCAGATGTAAACAGGATGTGTTCACACCTCTGAAGCCTCTGCAAGGGGTGAGACGGCACTGAGGGAAGAGTGAGGAACGAACACAGAGTTTTTGTGGGTTTTTTTCCTGTGCCCCTTTCTGTCTTCCTTTAAGGTAGCCTGTACGGTCCTCGCGCCCTCACAGCTCTCCTGTGGAGGTGTCATTTCACACCCACTCTTGGCCATGTGGCTCTGCTCGGCAGGGACGGCCCTGCTGAGGCACACGATGGCCAGGGCCCATGGCTGCCCCAGCTGGGACGGGGAGGGCCGGACCAGGACACTGCTGTCAGCGGCTGCACCACGAGCTTCCCTCTCCTGCTGTTAACCCGAGAGGATTGTTACTCCAAGGAGGGTTTTTTTTGGTTTGTTTTGTTTTTAACCTCTTGTTTTTACAATCCCCAGGGATGAGACTAGAGGAAGTCAGCTGTCTCACAGTCTCACCAGAGCACTCGCCTCAGGCTGCAGGTGCGAGCACAGCCCCAGCCCCGCACCAGCTGCTGCAGCGCCACAGGCACCAGCCCCGGCTGATTCACCTCACCAGGGGGTGCTTTCAAAGGCTTTGGTGCTGTTTAATCACTATTAATGTCACTTCTCCTCTTCGGACACACAAGGAGACCCCTCACATCTTCCCAGATGCCATTGGTGCCAATGCTGCATTCATGTGGGGCATGAACTGGCATCCAAAATCCTGAGCCATGTCTAAAAGAGCCATTTCTCTTCACCTGCTGTGACTGAAGACAATTCCTCAGTATACTTGCCAACTGCGTGCTTCCACACGCACATGCACAGCTGTTTGCAAACAAGCTGTCAATGTGCTTTAATGTGCCCCACAGATGTTTCCACCCCACAGATATTTCCACCCATGGAAGAACTGAGCATGTTTCCCTGCAGTTATGGCCACCATGGGGCTGCAGCAAGCTCAGGGCTAAATTCATCCCTGGCATGAGGCTGCCAGCCTCTCTTGAAGAGCCACCTTCCCACATTTGTGTGTGTGAGCAAGAAGTCAGTAAAATATAGCAATAAGTATGGGTTGTGGTTATGATTGATTGCTTTTAAATTGAGTTTAGTAGCAGGACAGGACAGAATGAAATAATCTCATCCGGGTTCTCGCAGATGCTGTGTCCTTGTTGGAGTTAAGGATACGTGAAAAAATGGCTTTTAAGATACACACAGCTCAGGAACAGAAATGAAATTTAAAAATAGCAAAAATAATGGCCGCTCTTTTTAAATTTCAATCAATCAAAGTCTTTTCTCTCAACCATTTCACAGTGCAATGTCTTTACTTTTTGATCTCCAATATAGTTTTTCCTTGTAAATATTTTTTTCAAACTAGCTTTAGTTTTTCCTTTTGAGGGGTGGGTAGTTCTGATCCCAGAGTCACAGGGTAGTTCATGCATGGGGCATCGCACAAAGTCACTGATGACAAAGCTGCAGCATTTGGAGACCAAGAGCCTCTTTCCCCACAGGGAGACCTTGGCAAGTGATTGCCTCCTTGGCTGGCACTGAGAGGCTGAGAAAGCTGCAGAAATCTCAGCTGAAGAGAGACTGAAAACTCCCACCACCGAGTTTATGGCCTTTCTATCTCATTATGCAGGTATTCATTACCCCCTTTACATGAACCTGGGGACTCAGACATCCTGCTTGGTTTTTTAAACCAGTTGTTAAAGTATTTGCACATAAAGTAGCTGCTGCCTACTGCAAATCTGATTAATGTGGACAGCAACAAGCTGTAAAGCTGCTGCCTATTTCTTCTCATTTTCCTGTGCTCTTGTGGATTTCATCCAACTTTCCCATTTCTTAACCTATTCTCAATATTAATAGCTGATTTTAGAAAAAGTATGTGTGTAATTAGCTGGAGAGGAAAACCAGCCAGAATCATGTAATTCTGCAGATTTCATTGTCCCAGTCATTAGATTTCAACTAAAGAAAATCATAAAACTTTTTACTGTGAGTTCCTCTCCTAATGTGCACCTCACCCAGCCAAACTGCAGTCTCCAGCACTTGGATGAAGAAGCATCTATTACTGTAAAACAGCTGTAAACACACAACTTTGCTAGTCTGGTTAAGAAATCTATAAAAGTCCAGCTACTGAATCTCAACCCCAGGCTTCCATACAAGTCCCTTTACGGCCCCACTGACTAGGGGAATTGCAGCTTTTAAGAAATCATGGAAATGCTGTGTTGGGGAACAAGGGACAGTAACACTGGGGCGCCTGTCAGGGACTGAAATGGTTCATGCCTTAAACATTGTTATGAAGTAGTTTTGCCTATTATAGCAAAAACTGTATAAAGAAGCTACAAGCACAGAAGCCCACCCCTCTCTGAAGATGCCTGACTGGAGCTTTGGACCCTGAGGTAAGCCACATAGGTAACATAAAGGGGACACTGTTGTTCAATAATCTCAGTCTGAGGGAGAAAATGCATCCACAAGAAAGCCAAACCCAGCAGCTGCATTGATAATCACCTCTGGCTGTGTTTGGGGTGGGGGAGAGCACAGCTTACAGAGGCCAGGTGTACACAGACCCTCCCACAACTGGGGGTGGGGGAGGAGGCTTTTTGTGCATGGCATAACCTCTGGTCAGAGGCACTGAACATCCATCCTCCCTTACACAAAGAAGCCCAGCTGTGAAATCCCCAGCCCCACAGGCCACATGCGTAGGACATCCACATGGGTGTCATAATCCATCAAAGACCCCCCAAAGTGCTTCCCAGACTCATTCCTGAGGCCTTGCACCACAGCATTGCGGGTAACACAAAGTGATGCAACAGACCTGTTGCGAGACACCATCAAATTCTCCCCCACCTTGGGGGGAGGTACCTGGGCATTCCCACCTGGCCTGAGCATATATTATTCCATTGGATTCTGTGCTTTTCAGGGGACCCTCACCACCAAGAAGACCAGCTGGAGAGGATCAAAGGAACTTCTCTGGGATCCATGGAGTGGTGGGATTGTCTTTATTCTGTCTCTGTCACTCTCTTTCTCTTGCCCCCCCCCCTTTTCTATTTCTTTCTCTTCCTTCCACTCTCTCTCTCTCTCTCTCTCTCTCCCTCATATTTACTATTAAATAAAATCCATACTATTGACTTGGGCATATGGTCTCATTTGCACCTTAATTCAGGCAGAGGCTTTTCTAATAACAGTAAAACCAGACCATAACAGCACCAAGCAGGATAAACCAAACCGAAGGACATAGGGGCTTCTTGGGCTGAAAGAAGATAAACCGTGACATGCTAACACACCTCTGTACCACACTTGTGAGGGTGAAGGGATGCCCCCAAACAAACCATCTTCACTGCAGTTTGGCATCCAGTCAGGCTCATACTGACTGCTCCAGGTTTCATCCATTTAATCTTGTGGATCTAAAGCATTGTTTGCTGTCCTATTTCACACACTGCATCTGTGCATGGGGCTGAGAAGGCAAAATAGAGCAGCAGGCTGGGAGCATAGGGAAATGAGAGAGAATTGAGGCTCAAAGGGGTGCTGCTCTTGTTGGGATTATGTCCCCATCACCCTCACAGAAAATTGTGATTTCTTTAAGCACCCAAGCACTGCCCTGTAGGACACTGCACACTTGTGTTGTTTTGTTTGGAGAGTATTCAGCATATTTTGGGCACCACTGTTTTGTGCCTTTCCTAAATCAGTCCAGCTAGCAGTCACTGCAGTATGCTATAAAAAAATTATCTAAAAAATACATGAAGGAAAGGAAGTACTTAAAAGTGCTCTGAAATATTTGGTCATGAAAAACAGGCTCAGACAGATAGGACTGCATAGATCTCTTGGGTCATCAAGTCTACTTCTCTGCTATCTTAGCCAAACACATCATATAATACCCTTCAGAAACTCATTTAAGTCCATCTTAAAAGTAGCTTGGGATTTGTTGTTGTTGTTTCCACTGTTCTCACTGGAAAGCAATTGCAGAACATTGCTATTCTGTTGTTTGGAAACCGGCGTCCAGTTCCTACCCTAAATTTATTCATGACCAATTTATGCTCATTTGTTCTTGTGCCAATGTTGTCCTTCAGTTTAAATAGATGTTTTCTCTTCCTAGAGCGTATGCCCATGTGGTATTTATAGTGGCCTCTCTCAGCATTCATTTTGCCAAATTCCTCTGCACTGCAGTCTCTCCTTTCCATGGTCACCCTAATCATCTTTTTCCATAGTTTCCCAAAACTGAAGCAAATAATTTGTGAATCGTGTGCACCATCCTGGCCAATTTCTAACATTTGCCTCATACACCATTACAGGTGTTTCATTACCCTGGCAAAAATACCCAGATTTGTATGGTCTGTGTTTTCCCTTCCTTAGCACCTGTGAGCATGCAGGTATAGTAACAACCTGAATAACAAAACCCAGATGCCTGAACTGGCAGTCAAACCCTTCTGAATTTTGTCTGATTTCTCCTACTCTCAAGGTCACTCAGTTCTTCGTAAATGGGGGTGTTATTCATCTTTGCAGTGACAGCGCCTGCCTCCCTTATGCCACTGGTAAATTCCATTAGCACACACTTACTTTTTTATGGGATCATCATTAATTAAAAATGTTAAATATTACTAGGCCCAAGACTGATGTTTGAGAAGCCTTACTACCTTCCCTCAGTCCTGATCTCCTCCTACCCTCACATTCTTATTCACTTTTTGATTTCTGTTTTTATCTCCCCTTTTAGGTAATAATTTCCCACATGGCACTGTACCAAATGCTGTACTTAAGTTTAGATAATTAGCTGTAAGCACTTCCTTTGTCTAGAGAAATCAATTATGATGATATTTCAGGTGCCGGAACTTGTAGAAGTACCTGAGAAGTGGCAGAAGGGAGAGAGAAAATGAAATTACCCAAAGTTTTTTTAACACCTTTTGAAAGATTTGGGCTGATTTTCATTTTCAGAGCTGCTTCATTCATCCCTAGCAATGACATTTTCATACATTGTTGAATTTTATAACAATTCTGAATATTATAACACTAATGCAAGAGCATCATTAAAATTCTCAGTTATTGATATTTGACTGAAAATAAGAATGACCTTTGAGACCTTTATGAAATTAATGCTACTGCAGAACTGTTATAGGAAGGCCTTGTATAAAGGGCTATAAAGCAAGGCAAAAAGCAAAATACCCGCATTGGTGGTTTTGCTGATACAAGTGTTACCATAAATGCCATCCCTGTAGAAGTACAGAAAAAGCACCTTTAAAATCAGGGGCTTTTGTAAAGTTTTTGACATAATACCTAATTGGTAAAATGCCACATTAAAACACAGCTAACTTTAAATATGATTTTCACTGTTTCATGTCACTTTCATTTTTAGTGTAACCTGAAAAAATATTCAGAACAGTATAGAATAGTATCTGCAGAGAGATATTTGTTATTCACATAAGAAAATAATGCTGAGATTCAGAAAAACATTGGCTATTTTAGAGTATCTGCAGAGTCACCATTATCATGTTTCCTTTTTGAGCTGAAATCAAGGAGGATGAGAAAAGCAGGCTACAATTAGCAAATGTGTAATTAGCTGTAAGGTTCTGGGCATCAATGCAGAAGGAAAATACAAAGAACTTGTGGCTTGAAATTCACAGATAAGCATGTATTTACACAGCCTCCATGTTAGTCATCATATTCTATGTGTGCTGCTTGGGAAAAAGGGGGCAGAAATTGAAGCTGGTTATAATAAATAGAGTTTGGATGTAGGTGTGGATTCCAGCTTTATATTCTGGGACACACACATTGTTCATATTATGTTTAGCCTTGAGAAAAGGAGAGGACCCTCTTGCTCTTTTACAACTCCCCAGAAGGAGGGTGATGGAAGGTGAGAGTCAGTCTCTTCTCCCAGGTAACAAGTGACAGGATGAGAGCAACAGCCTTAAGCTGCACCAGGGGAGAACTAAATTAGATATTAGGAAAAGTATTTTACATGGAAAAGATGGCCAAGCATTGGAATAGACTGCCCAGGGAAGTGGTGGAGTCACCTGGACATGGCACTTGAGGACATGATTTAATGGTGAGCACAGTAGTTATGAGCGTGGCTGCAGATCCATGCTTTTGCCCCCTTTAAATTAAATGCATAGCCTAGGGAAAAACCTCATTACCTCAAAATATTCAGTCCTCAAGGTGCACATTAGCTACTGTAAAAATTTCCCTATGGTGCTGAGAACTTGAAAAAATAAACTTTCTCATCACCTGGTAAATGTTTGGTGCCATTGATCAGAACTCATTGTGGAGAAGAACTGAGAATGCAAAAGGTTATGGACTTTTATGGATGAAACTCATCAACATTTGTCTTCTGAGCACAGGTAAATGCCCACAATACCATAAATGATGACATTTCACTGAACTTTAACAATATTATTTCCTCTGCGTAGCGTCACTGCTTACCTGCACAGTTGTTTCGAATGCTTTGTGAGTGAGATAACACTAAAATTGAAAGCTACATAATATAGGTGAAATTCACATTAAAAGTCATCTGTGTTTTAATGCGGTTTCTTTTGCCAGTTAATATTTCTTATATCTTCTTTCTGCAGAAGCAATGCAGGAGCAGGTTATTTTGCAGATGCATGTGCATTGGCAAGCAGAGATGCTGTTTGTGATAATATCAGCATAAGAAAATCTACTCATAGAAGCTTGAACCATTTTAGTTTTTGCTATTACTCTTTCAACAACTCTTTCCCGTAAAATTCAGCAATGCGCGGGCAGTCATCAGCATTAGGCACCCAGCTGCTTTGAAGCCCAGAACCTCATGTCTTTATGATTTAGCTGAGCCATCTTCAAAGCTGACAGGGCTAAATCACATCAGGGCACTCTCAGGGTGAAGCAAAAGTCCACACAGGAGCTCCTCCTGGATACATTCCTGTGCAAACAGATCTGTATTCAGCTTTAGAAACTAGATCTCCACACCACACACACACAGAAGTTAAAGTTGATCTGCTGACATGGCATCTGAATTTCTAACGCGTATTTACCTGAATTACAACAGCACCATGTAATTAGGCATAAATAAGGGCCTTTGTTCTGGAGGGGAGGAAAGTTTATCAATTCTGAACCATATGCAGTTGCATGTCTAATCTCTGGCTGCAATTATTTCAAATGCAGATCCAGATGATGGCATTTATATTCATTCTGAGATTCACTGAGTTTGAGGCCAGAAGGGATCATTATACCATCTGGCCTGACCTCCTGGATGCCACAGACCATTACATTTTCCCAATTACCTTTATACCAAGCCCTGTAACATGTGTTTGACTAAAGTATAACTATTTTTGACTAAAGCTTATCTCCCCGTAAAGCACCTATTCTTGATTTGAGGCCATCAAGAGGAGAGAATCCACCACTTTGTACTTTGTTCCAATGGCTAAGCACACTCACCATTAAAAATGTAGGTCATGTTTCCAATTTGATTGTCTGGCTCCAGACTCCGTCCACTGGATCTCATTACACTTTTCAGAACTAAGTCAAAATGTTCTTTGAAACCACTATTTTTTCCCCTGTGTAAGTGTTTATTCCCTGGAGTCAAGTCACCTCTCAAGTATTTTGTTTTGGTTTTTTCTAATAAGCTTTGGTGAACTCTGAAAATTCACAGGGCAAAGTTGTATTTGCAGTCCTTATGTGTATTTTTATTTTACCTGGTATCTATTTGAACAGTGCCCAGATGTTTCTCTTGGTGCCAGTGACGCACACAAGGAGCACAGGAGTCTCTGCCGCCCTGGCAGAGCCTCTAGCCTGTAATGAAGTCTCTCCTTCCCAGTACCCAGCTGTAGGGTGAGGCAAATGACACTGTGCTGAAGGTTCATAACTACAGAATTCAGAATGTACCAGCTGATCCCAATGGGAGCACTTTATTGTGTAATCCAGGTTTCTTTTACAACAGTTCTCACCTCATCATCCCATACTATCAATTTGTGGTGATGCACAAACCGCTTCCCCTGAAACCAAACATTGCTTATGGCAAAATAAAAATGTACTCTGTGCACATTTATTTGTCCAGCTAGAGTTTCTAATATTTTGAGATTCCAATCATAAGTCTACCTGTAACAGCACAAAGGGAAAA